GTCGAATAGTTGGCAGCATGGACGCACAACAAGTAAGTCAACCACGTTTATTACAATGGAGGAGTTCTCTGGAAAAATTCCGTGAGTGTCCACACCCCCTTTTTCCATACCCATGCTCGTGTCTTCCTTAAGAACAGTTGCAATAGGATAGAGCGATGTTGAGATTGTTCAGTTGTGCTTGTAGCAAGGGAGAAACAAATTTCTCCATGCTCCCACTAGATGGCAAGTGTCTAGCTGTCTCGCTATGCTCTCCAGTCGGGAGGGAAGGGGGAAAGGAACGACTGGTCATCCATACTTATAGGAAACTCCAGGAAAATAAAACGAAATAGTAGTGGTGCTTCTTTGAAGACTGTGCTTTGAAGAAAAAACATTCGATTAGCTTTTTCATGAAAGCTAATCCGAATGTTTTTATTTTCATTGTGTTTTTTTGAGGAAGGGTTTTTTTTTTTTACCCTTAGGTTAACTGAGAGGCAAATTATTTTTCATTCAAATGGAAAATGACAGCTGAAAAAATCACGGGGAAAGTCCTGATAGTGTGGATATGGGAAAATTTTAGTTCAAGCCCTAAGTTCAAAGCAGAACCAGCCTAGGAATACTACGTCGCTGAAAACTGGATTCCGATTGGTCGCAGGTGAGCCCTGAGGAGATTTTGCTGTTTATCTGGAATTAAGACTTTCGCACAAAAGCCCTTTTTTCAGAGAACTCCTCAATTATTTGGAGCCTTCTTTTATCGTTATAGAAATAATTTTGCATTCAATCAGGGTGGCGGTGTCAAATGGCCTGAGGAGAGCGACAAACTCTTCCTGTGTGGAAAAACCAGCTTTGCTATGATGGAAGTCAGAGAGACGAGTAAGAACTGTTTCATCATCACAAGTGCATTTAATCGTTTTCGGAGGTTTATGTGATTCTTCGATACGGCATAGTGTGTGACGATACACCGTTGGGGATGAGGTCAAAGGCTATCAAAGATTGCCAGATTGGAGCTTCAAGAGCCTTGAATGAAGCTTCTGCTCCTCGCTTTGCTCGCGTCGGACAAACAGAAGGTAAAAATGTTACTGAAGTTGTGGTTTTGCTTTTCGCCTTGAGACATGGCTTGAATAGAAATAAATAAAATTAGATCTAATATTTGTTTCTATTCCGAGCTTGATGGCCGCTGTTCAACGGTTCATGATAAATTCATTTCGGATCGTGTGAATCTCGAGAAAGGCTAACTTTTTCTTCATTCTCACAGTTTGGTCCCCTGGCATAGTTCCGGAAGACAACACCCAACCATATCTTCAAGTGAATTTCGGCAACTTCACCCGAGTGACGGGAGTGGAAATAGAAAAGCGCCTGTACGCAGGATTCAGGACGATCGAGAATTTCACCCTCCAGAAGAGCCGCGACCTCAAGACCTTCACCGACCACGAAAACGTGAGTCCCCTGCGGCCACCGATGCCAGGCGAGGACTGGGCATTCACCGCTTCTTT